TTTATGCTCTTAGCAAAACAGCAGTGGGGTAAAAAAAATGGTTTGGCGGGAGAGTGTAGGACTGTCAGGAATTAGGCGTGATCCTCCTTATGCGTATTATCTCTTAGCTACATGCTCCTTACCCTTAATGGTTGATTATGTAAGAGTAAGTTGGTATTCGCTCAGCAGGGCTTTCAGTAATGCAGGATAAAGTTTCCAGAGCTCAGTCTTTTCCTGCTTACAGCTCTTCAGCTCGTGCTAGTGTACATCTGGATTGCACAGAATCAAGCATCCTGCTCCCTGCAGTAGCCACTGACTCCCTCTTGGCCTTCTCCAGGAGCCACACACACCAACTGTGGAAGTACAGCTTTCGCCCCAAAGCAGGCTGCTCCCAGTCACTCTGCTGATTTGGCTGCTTTCCACACGTGCTTTATCCCATGTGAGCTCTTTCTCATTTGTGTGTAGTCTAGAAAGTTGCTGTCTCTTGTATAACCATGTGTACAGCTTAGAAGCTCTTGTGCAAATAGATGAATCTCAATTTGCCTTTGAAATGTGGCAAGACTTGAGCTTTTCCAACTCTCCGGTTGCTCTGCAGTCCAGGGCATTGGACATAAAATGTCAGTTTTGCGCTGTGGCCTTTCTTAGCCTCTGAGCTTTGTCATCATTGGAGGACTTGCAGAAGGGGGAAGAGGTTGCCCTTACGACAGGTAGTTCATGTTCCTTTGAGGGCTTTCCAGCAGTCCTGAAACGGAGCTGACTTGCAGTGAAGAGATGTCTTTGCAGTCTCAACTACAGCTGAAATGGAAGACCAGATTTTGGAGCAGCTGAAGTACTTGTGTGTCCAAACCCAGGACCTGCAAACCACTGAGGATGGGTTGGCATGCAGCAGGGGATTTCTGTGCTGCATCCTTTCCAGCCAAAGGCAGGGAAAGGGATGTCTGTTCTTGGATACAGCAGGAGTGTGGGAAGAGTAGGGAATCCAGGCAGGTGGCAGACTTCACATCCCCTCGAAAATCAGATCTGTAGGGACAAGGACGGTGGGAGCACCTTTACCAGAAGGCATTAAAACCTTGTCAACTTATTCTCTGTCTTACTTGCCAGTCTGACTGGCTTTTTGTGAGTTTGAGTGCCGTACCAGATCAGATGTCTAACTTGTCCGGTATCTGTTCGTTGTCAAGGGCTAGAGCCTGCAACTCCATCCAATAAGGGCAGAAAGCCTGTAATGAACAAGAATAAATTAGCTGCCCACAGGAGAAAGGCCTTCCTAGCTGCTGGCAGTGTTTGCCTTGTGCTATGTGTTGGTTATGTGGTTATGTATTTTATTGCCATAAGCATGCAGTTTACGAATATAGCAACTTTTGGTCTATGCACCTAAATCTGAATTTGGGCATTCAGTCCTTTACCTCCAGTGTTTTCTTTATGCCCCATAGTATAATTTTAGAAAATGCTCAGTCTTCTAACCCCTTGAAACTTCACTGGGCTTTTGTTGCCAGCCATCTCTAGAGCTGGATTGTCTGGAGTGTTTAGAACCCAAAAGGACAGGAAAGATGTTTTGTCCCTTGACTTAGTTTATGTATTGGTATTTTGTGGTTGTTGTTTAACATGAGTTTAACTTCACGGTTTAGTGCGGAGGCTTAGATGAAGGATCAGGTGAGATGCTCCTTTTGAGCAGACCACTCGAAGGTGCAGGGTTAGAGAAGTCTGTTCACGTTGGTCTGAAAGCTTACCTTATCCCTTGTCTTAAAAAGTTGCAATTAAGTTCTGTCATAGATGAATGCATAAAAATACATCTTAGAATTAGAACATTTTGCAGTTCCAAGGGAAAAAAAAAAAGGAATTTAATTTTCTGTGTGGGTTCCAAAAATGTTCAGTACCCTTTCCCACCATCACAGTAACAGTGACATTTGGGAGGGGAAGGTCGCTTTTTATTTCCTCTGTGTGGAGCATAGTCAAGACAAGGAAACCCAGCGAATGAGATTGCTGCAAATTCAGGACTGGCATGGTAAAGTCAGTGGGAAGGATGCTTTGGTACACTTGAAATGAGTGTGGACTCCCCTTGAACAGGAGAACCCCTGCTGTGCTTCTGGGTGAAGACAAGAGATCGTATTGTCCATTGGTTAGGTTGAGATCTTGCAGTAGGTGCGCCCTTGTGGTTCTCTGAGACAGGATCTCCGAGTCTGATCTCTCTACTGCCTGCTGGACTGGTGTCTGACTTGAGGTTTCTTCATGCTCTAAGTTGCGTCTCTCGTTCTTGCACATAAATGTAGCAAGAGAAAAAGTCTGATTCTCTGGCCTTATGCAGTATGGCGGCAATAACTGTGTGTTTTACCTATTTTAGATTAAAGAGCAGTCGTGTGATCTAGTGTCTTGCAGCCTGCCCAGCCTGGTGATGAACACAAGCTCTGACAAAAAACCAAGCAATCTCAGTTGTGTAACATCAGATCCTGCTCTGGTGTGGAGGAAAGTCAGCAGAGCTAAGCTTGAATGCCATCAGCTGAGGGATGTGGGCATATGTTTTGCTTAAAAATACGTGCTCCTATTTTTCTCTCAGGTCTAGGCTGTGTAATGTCATATGATAGACTCAAATATCATTTGCTGAAAAATAAAAGAGCTTACCGTATTTTATTATTTGAGAGTTTCGCAAGGGTCTAGCTGAATCCAGCCCAGAAGTTTGTGGGTTTACAACTGGGGCTGTCACTGTACAGAGCTATAAATAGACACATCATTTCTGTGGGAGATCCAAACGGTGTCATGCAGATCCAGGAAATAAATCACCGGATGACTTTGTTTCACTGCCCTTTTGCTCTGCAGCCCGTCTCCCAGGGGATCACTTACAATTTCAAAATCTCAAGAGCCTGTATTTAAACCAATCTGCCAGAGAAAAGCTCCTTCATTTCCTTCTTCTTAAGGTTCTTTGCTTGTAATCTGATGCATATGTATAGAGAGAGAGAGCGCGGTAGAAACCCACGTTACATGTAGCGATGCTGCATTGAGTTGGGCAGCTTCTTGTTTTCAGTCTAGCTCAGGAGAGGGGGACAGGGGACGTGGCCTCCCTGCACTTTGTAAATGTGATCCCTGTGATCTCTCTGTCATAAAGGATAGACTGGAGCCTAAAAGTGGAATAAATATGACCAGGGTGCTCTTGGTTTTTAAACATTGCACATTTAGACCGAGTGATAATCTCTTTAGTTGCCTCATGTGAGAGACATTTGAGCAATAGCTAGGTGTCCTGAACACGCTAATAACTATGTTAGGGAACAGTTCAGATTCCTAGATATGGATGGTTAAGGTCAAGACAGGCAATAGTTACTCTGCTTATCAGTGTCAACCTTGTTCTCATTGTGTTTCACGCACGTGAGAAGTGTGAGCTTTACACAACTTAGGAAGGGAGCAGACATCAGTAGTTCACTACAGCACCACCTCCAAAATAATTGACTTTGTAATGTGGTTGTTTGCATATGGAGAAAAGCTATCACGGTCATCTGTAGGTATCTTAAATACATTGCTGTCTCACTCCCAGCCCTTTACGGTGACATCATGGAAACGGTATGCTTGATTTGGGGAAATTTTCTGTTCCTGGTCCTACAAACCAACTTCAGGAGAGCTCTGTCTGAATACAGGGTTGAGCCTCCTTGGCCTAGATGGCAAGAAAATAGAATCAAAAGCATTGGCCTATGTAGGAAATGGTACATCTGAGATGCTGGTAGTTCCGAAGAAATGCTCAAACCTCCTGAAGCATGCCTAAAATACATTATTTTTTTGTGGTGTGCACAGAATACGTGGTTTGATATTCTCAGAGGAAAGCAGTCTGCAACTGCGAAGTGCTACCAGCTGGGTTGGCTTGCATTGCCATTCAGCAATACCGCTGCCATTCCAAGCTCCTGCCAATAAGTTTTTCTTTGAAACAGTCTTCTCTTTATCTAATCATTCAAAATGAAAATCTACATGGAGAGAAAACAGCTCCTTAAGTGGGAAGGCCAAGGGTGAGTCCTGAGGCAACTGTGGCTGCTAAAGTGAAGACCCCATAAACAGTAACCAAGAAATGGCAGCTGTCCAGCCTGCCCTGCTTTGAGCTTGCACTTACAATATTCGACTTGTTTTCTCGGAACAATAAAAAGAGCAAGTGTTGATGAGACCCATTTAATTGCAAATTATTCCCCCCCCTCCCCTTCTTCCGCCTACAGGTGATAATTGTTTTCAAACATACAGTTCTCTCTGTGCTTATTCCTGAAAATTCTGCTCTGCGGGCTAAATTTCTCTTTACTACCACAGCAGCAGTACCAGTGTTATAACTGTATGAAAAGGCTTGATTTTGGTAGTGTTGGTGGTGATGCTTTTATAGTTGGGGTGAATTTTCTCTAAAATGGAATGGTAATACAATGAGGGTTGAGACCCGTATTACATGTTTCTAATGGAGCTACAGACGGGTACAGTTGTGACTTTCCTTATAACGCGTATACGCTGGTAGGTAAAGGAATTACTGATTCATTATTTAAGTGCTTGTGTCATAGAATAATAATTTATAGCTTTTCTTTTGTAGGTCCATGTTTTATTGGTTACAAAATAGACTGACAGTCCGTAGGTCTGGAGATGCGTGCTCTCTCATTGCTGTAGGAAAATAAAGAGAGAGGGGAAAGAATCTTTGCCCTATTCAGAGACCTCAGAAAGGCACGAATCCTAGTATGCCTACACAAAAGCAGTTTCTATCGCTTGTGGGTTTTCTTCACAGGCTACTGAAAAACAAAGTCTAATTGCTTTGGTGACAGAATCTCACAGCTGTACTGGAATCTGATGTTCTTAGGCAAAGAAATAAAGATAAGGAATCTAAGCTGCTTTGCTGGCCTAGTTCATCCTAAGAGTCCCCTTAGGACCTCTTGGCCTCCCAGTGTTGAGTTCCACTTTTATCTGTAATGCTGGCATGTTTCGTTGTACGTTGCACCAGGTTAGGTTTTTGCTGACACGGGACATGCAGCAGGATTGCTGTGTAGTGGCTGGTAAGCCTTCATTCTGAAAAACGTCAGAAGTGTTTGTGGGAAGGAATGGGAGAACAAACCCAACAAATGTGTGCCCCCAGCCTGCGAGCCGTTGTAGCATGCGTCTGATCACGTTGGTATTTAATGAGGTGCTTCAAAGTAAAATATATCCATCAGCATTTGTAGAATTGTCTATGCTTGTTCCGAGGCCACAGAATTCCTCTCTTTCCTATAAGTATCATACAGCATCTATCATTAACAGCTAATCTGTCTTTCTCTTGTTTCAGGGAACAGTATTGAAAAATGGCACGGAAACCTTTGAAGCCTGGGAGGATCCTCCTCCACCAGTCTACATGCAGTTCTACTTTTTTAATGTGACCAATCCTTTAGAAGTGCTTCAAGGCGATACTCCTCTTGTAGAGGAAATAGGGCCATACACCTACCGGTAGGACCATTTCACTATTTTCTCATTGCACTAAACCTCTTGTGTGTAAGGAAGCCAAAAAGTGGGATCCAGAACGCTTGGGGTCAATTCTAGGAGCAAAATTAGCTGTTTACATGTGAGGAGAAGTTTATTCAGGGGAGCATGGTCATACACCACCCAGAGAGTACAGCTAGACTGACGCTTGGAGAACCTGCAATCAGCTTCAGTAACTTCTGTCAGATTTTGGGGCAGATTTTGCACAGATTTTGCTTGCGTGCTGTTGTTCCTCAGCTGCTGAACACAGAGGAAGTTGTTTGCATCCTGGACTATGGTCTTAGGAGAGAAAAAGCATTGACTGGTTGGGCAATGTTTGAGACTCTGGGGAGAGGAGTGTTGCATAAAAGCGTGATTCATGTGTTCACTCAGAAATTAGTTCCTAGGTAAGTTGCACAATTCACATCGGTAAAAATGTGGCCAGAAAAACAGTTAGAGAGTGGTGCTACAGGGATCTTCCTCAGCCAACCCTCACTATAAAACCTACATAGATTCAGTCACACCTACTATTGTAACAGGCAGCCGGACTTGCTGAAGCCACGTGCAGTGTTGGAGCTTATCCAGCCTCTTGAACTCTCCTTCTGCATGGTATGGCCACACACTGAACAATCTGAGTCTGCTGCAATGGAGAGATTTTCAAGTCAGCTTACAAACGATTTTTCCTTTAGAGTTTTATTCTGCTCTGCTGCATGCAGCAGTGTAAACCAGAAGCAGTCCTATGGCAGGAGGCATTACGGTCTTGGAAGTCATGGAGGTGTGAGAACCACAGCAAAAGGGTGGATTTCTCATGGTCAGTCTCACTTCTGGTCACACACGCTCATTCAGACCGGGCACTGGCTCAGTGCCAGAAGGAGTTGTCTTTGCCTAAGCTGCAAAATGGTCAGAATCTGGTTGTTAGTATTTGAAAAAACATCCTATAGAATAAAAGGGAGGGCTTTTGTTGTAGCTTTGGTCTCTGCAGTATGTCTTGCCTTTCTGTTGCTTCCCTCCCACACCTCAGCTTTGCTTCACCCTCTGCCATCAGTCTTTTCTCTTGTCTCCTGTGTATTTCAGTACTGTGTCTGTTTAGCCCTGGCAAACTGCATGTGGTACTTTGGCAAAATACCTCGTGTTAGATAAACCAGTAAAGCTGGAGAAAAGACGCGTACGCTTTCAAATTCCCAAGCTTTTCTTCAGGTCTCTGTAGTGTAATGCTGGTAATTAGTCAGCAGTACATTCTATCTGTCTGGAAGATAAATAGGGCCAGCTCTAGGTGTAATACAGCTACGTGAAACCACATAGGCCCACGCTTTTCTGCACCCTGGTACTCAATAACCTTTGCTAGGTTCTTTTTTTCCCTTTCCTTAGCTCCGAGTGTCTTCTGGGTGCCATGCACAGCCCGGTTTGTGAAGCTGCCCCTCCTCCGCGGAAGAGTTCAGTGGGATGGACAGGGCTGGTGGTGTAGCTGGCTGGCTTGGTCTGTGCCCGAGGGGAGGCCCAACCCGAGCTGCTGGTTTGGGAGAGCCTTGCCCTGCGCGGCACGCCGCGGGCTGGCTGCGAGCGGGTCGGCGAAGCCGGCCCTCCCTGAATTGTTTATTGTGGTGTGAGGGAGGGAGGCTGCGCGCTCCAGCGCTGTGTGTTTCGGTTGCTTCTGGCTCGTTGGGTTAGCCTGATTTTGACGTGTCTGAACAGGATTCAGTTGTGCTGTGCTCTGTCTGATAGAAGAAAGAAGAAAGTTAGAAAGCGGAGTGCTCTTTCCCAGCAGATTCTTTAATCCTTGCCTAGCTGTCGCTGCTGACTGTAGCAGACCGTCAGTGGTGGGTGGGGGAAGAGAGGAGTCATGTGGGAGGACAGGGAGAAGGGAGGGATGTTGCAGACGTACTGCGTGCTCGAGCCAGAGAATGAATGCCAAGTTTGTCTCACAGGCCCCGTGCAGCAAAGCATTAAAGACTTATTTAAGTTTAGCTTGTGGCAGAATGCCTAAAATGCCCTAAACATGAAGTGCATGTCTCAGTGTTTTTGGAAAACAGGGTATTGGGGAGATAGGCTCAAGTGAACTGGCTCAGACAGGCAGAGGGAAAAAAACCTAATGAATAACAGAGCGGATGTGGGACGGCTAAATAGAATCTATTCTTGCATATTCTTCCTGCAATTCACAGTTTTGACCAACACACATTGTAAACCCAGTTAGTGCAGAGGTAGATACTGTAACAGAAATGTAGTAGTGCTTGTGTTTTTAAATCCTGGAGGCTGAATTTGCAGCATATCAAATAATTAATTATAAAGTGCAAGCTTCTTAGCTGCCCAAGCCTGCTGAGTCCCAAAGAGCACTTGAATATTGCCCAGTCTTGCACACATTTACAGCTTTTTGTCTTTAACATCTGAGATCCTCCTACTCGTATCCATAATCAGGGAGTATTATTTTCCTCTCCAGCCCTTTTAGAGTTGGAGAGGCTTCTCAGGTTAACTCTGGCCTATTTTAGGGAAGGCACTTCACAAATGTCCATTTCCATCCCCTCAGTTCAAGCCCTAGAGTATAAAGTGGATTGCTGTACAAGAGGCTCTTGCCGAATTGAGCTGGAAGCGTTGCCAGACCAAAACGTTCCGAGGTGGTAGGGATGCTGAAGAGTGGTAGATAGGCTGTTTGTGTAAGGAAGATGGGAAATGGTTGGTTTCTAACAAGAATAGGTTCATAGGCCTTTCCATCTTGCTTTAAATTTGGAAGACTGAACCAGAGTAATACAGCCTGTCATGAAGCTGCATTGATGGATCTAGTGCAGCCAGGATAAGGATCTAGGATCTGAAACAAATGGAAAACATCATAGCACAGGGTCTTGCAGAATAATTCACCTTCACATCTTGAGATTTAAAATTTACACAGGAAACAAAGCAATGTAAAAGTCCACAAACTCTTGAGTGAACGTAGACTTAGGAAATACAGTGCATTTCATTTCAAGTGTACACCAAAAGGATTATGCCATGAGCCGACAACCTGCCATTTCCGTTTTCTGGCTTGCCGAAGACACATGTACAGCTCATCTTGAGCCTAAGCCAGCCAGTTCTGCAGAACTGTGTGTTTCTTGTTTGTAAAACAGTAGTGGCAACGGACTGAATTATGGTTATGACATGTTTTTCAGGGTAATTAAGATCTGTCTTCCTCTTCAGGCCAGTAGGTAGCACTTGATGTTTCTTGCCAATTGCACTTGTTTGTCAGCAATCCTGAGTTTTATGCTGCTTGTCTGAGTGTTTCAGCAGTAACAGAAGCAATCTCCCAGGCCATGAGTAGTTCTCGGTAAAATTTCAGTTGAATGTCTGTCATGTCCAGGATTCCTGCCTGAGAATTAAAGGAGAAGAGCTAAAATGAGGCTTCTTCTGTGGCCATATCACATGTAAGCCCAGAGGTCCCAGTGCAAAGTACTTTGAAGGCAGCAGAGAGATTCTGGTAGGTTCTTAGGTCAGGTTAATGAGACTTCCATGAAGCCTACATCTTGTTCTACCTGGGAGTGAGTTTTGCCTGCAGCAAAGAGGGAAAGGTTTCGTTTTCAAATTGTACTTCAAGGGCAGTCCCATATCTAGTGCCTTGAAGACCTTCTGTACAGTCTGAAATTGTTCTCTTTCCTTGGAGGTTTTTAAAGACGAGGCAAAAATATAAAGTGTAATTAATGTGTGGGGTGGCATTTTTGGAAGCACCCTGTTGTGAGGTCTGATTCAGCTCACACTGACACAAAGGGGAGTTCTGTTGCTGACAGCAGCAGTAGCAAGAATGAATCTACTCCTAATGAACTGAAAATCCCACCTTTTATGTGCTTAAAGCAGTAGAATAGCCATAAGTTTATTGTGGTTAATGCTATGTGTACTTGTTTAGCTTGATTAGAGAACAAACTCTTGTTTTTCAGAGAATACAGGCCAAGAGTGCACGTTCAGTTTTTGGACAATGGTACCAAAGTATCTGCTCTGAATCCAAAGACATACGTATTTGAACCTCAGAAGTCAGTTGGAGACCCTGAAGTGGACCTGATTAGAACAGTTAATATTCCTGCAGTGGTGAGTTCTCTTTCATACTTTGTAACTAGAAGCTTGTTGCTTCATACCGTCTCTCCCTTTGTGGTCGATAAATGTGGTTGAAGAACGAGAGGGGCAGCTTATGTCCAGGGCAGATACTGCATTCAGTTTTGTTCTGAACTGTTGTGGTTCTTTTTTGTTGTGTTCCTCCCTTGCCATACACCTCTGTGGTGTTAATGCCTCACTCCTGTGCTGAGAGCTGACACGCACTTCAGAGATGAGCAGAAATCAGGCTTGTTGGGTTTCTGTGAGTAAGTGAAACTAGGGAGTTGGTGTCCAATGCATAGGAGAAACTGTCTTTTGAATGAGAAAGTTTGGAATGCTCAGGCTTGTTTTTGTCAAAATTGCAAAAATTGCCTCCAAGTCTGCATCTCAAACTGAAAAAAAAATAAAATATATATATATAGGAGAGGAGTTTCAGATACAGCTGAATGAAAAGGTGCTGTCAGGATGAAATTGAAGTTAAAACATGCACCACCGAACTGCATTAGGTAAAAGTACTCTGCAAAGAAAGCCTCATTTTGGTGATCAGAGGCAGACCATTATTTCGGTTTCGTACAGGCATAGTATGAGAACAAGCAGATCTAAAGCTGCCACACCTCCCAAAGGAAATTCGAACGTACGAAAATTCTTGTTGGTGTGTAACTAAGCCTTTACTCCCCATACTAGTTCAATTGACTTCAATTACAGGGTGCATTCATTTCTGCTTTTTCCCCAGCATTTCCAAAAGTGTCTTGTCTGATTTTATGAATGAATACATAAATGCACTGTATGTAGTAGTAGAGAGGACTCAGCTTACTAAAAGTTGCAAACAACACAGTCACTGTTTGCAATTCCTTCCAGGCATTTCAGTGGTGCTAAGTGTTATCTCTTATTCAGATTTTTGACTGTGATGTACAGTAACAGGCAGTACTAGAACTACAGGTTGGTTCGCCTAAGGAATATTCTCTTGTTTTATTTTTGCTTTTTTAAAGACATGCTGTAGACTCACTTGTCAGCTAGAAAGGAAATAAATTTCGGTATTGTTTGCATTTTGGAGAAATGTCTATCTTTTAAAAAGAGCTTTTAAAAATGTAAACTGTAGCTTCCTAAGGCTGAAACTCAAAACATGTCTCCAGCTGTAACACACTTGTGAAATTCAAGCTATTTGGAAAGCAGTTTTGCACATTTCACTTAAAATCCATTCTTAAGACTATGGCATTTAATGGCACGAACCTGAGCTGGTTGTGTGCCAGTGCCAGGCTGAACAGGAATCGGCAAGAGCACATCCCTGTGGGAGAAAAGCTGAAGAACCTGTTAGCAAGCACATTACTTGGCCACAAGTGGAAATAATGAAACTGAAAATACAGATGAAACATGCAATGCTGAAATGTGTCTGTGTTTGTATGCAGCTGGTATTACTTATTCTACGGTAAATCTGACCATTGCTCCCTTATTCCAATCCCTGGCAGACTGCGATGGAATGGACCAGGTCAACCCCTCTTCAGTTTGCCACAGAGGTGCTGCTGCTTCTGTACCAAGAATCCCTGTTTACAGTTCACACCGTTCATGAATTACTGTGGGGCTACAAAGACAGGCTCCTGTCAACCATTCATCTTCTGCATCCTGAGATCGATCCCGTGTTTGGTTTCTTTAATAAGGTAACTGGTAGGCAAGACTTCCTGGTGCTTTACGTGGGGAATGATGTCATTGCTAGAGATTCTGGACTGTCAGCACCAGCCAGTTGAGAAGGATGTGCTTGGTCTGGGGCCAGGAGGTAGGCTGCAGGAATAGCAAAAGGATGTTCCCTCTTCAGTTTGGCTGGGTCTGGGCACTGGCTGTGAGTGGTTTATCTGCTGTCGTTTATCAGGGGTGAATAAGCTTTCCAAGGGCGGGTGGAAACCACTCCGCTATGGCCTGTGCTTGCTTGAGTAACATGGGCTTTGTGGGGCCGGTTGTGCAAACTACCAGAAAAACTTCCTGACCCATTTCCTTAGTAATGGATTGAAATTGCATGTTATTTCTGTGCTGGAGCCATTACTGCCTTCCACAGTGTTTCTGGTTGCACATCATTTTGGGCTGTGGGGACTCCTTGTTTCTTGGAGATTATCTGCAGTGCTCAGGTAATTTTCTGTGGGTTTATTTTTTTCTAAGGGCTGTTTTGTCAGTGGCAAATTTCAAAGGAAAACAAAGGCTAATCTAATGTAATATTTCCTTCACTTGGGAGGTATAAGAATCTAGCGCCGTCACGTTCACCTCATTTATATTCCAGGTGGAGTTGAATGAATTGCACTTACTTCATCAGGGGGATTCTGTCACTCTTAGGGTGGATTTGAAGTGATGACAGCTTAAATCCCCCTACGCCGTTGTAGTTACCAGCCAGGTGTTACAGAATGAGTGAAGTGATTAAAAACTCATATATCTGTTTGCAGATGAACGGAACTGATGATGGAGAATATGTTTTCCTAAGTGGGGAAACGAACTACCTTAACTTCTCAAGGATTGTGGAATGGAAAGGAAAAGAGTAAGTTTTTCAGTGTGGTGTGGCCTCTGTCAAAATCTGCCCCTTTTCACATTTTGGATGAACATGAGCATTGTTTACAAAAAAAAAGGGGTCCTTTTATTCTGAGGATGGCAGCAGCATTCAGCAGCAGTAGCATCAGCAGCCCCCCAGTCATATAACTATGAAAGGAAGACAGCCCCGGCCCGCAGAGAGCGGAGTGCTGCGAATCCTCACCTCTGAACCCCTGGACTGCCCCTTGGCACAGGTGACCCTCTCTCTGCTCCCTCCTCTAGGACACCCAGCCGCCTGTGGGGACAATAGTCCCTCATCTATGCAGCCAATGTTCCCAGACACCACCCTTCCTTGCTGCTCTGTACCCAGAGCCAAGGCTGGGACATCTGGTGCCTGGGTATCTAACACTTGTTCATTGGGCAGCACGTGTTAGAAAGAGGCCAAAGATGACCTACTAAAGCATCCCTCTCCCATTAAACAGAACGTCTGCCAGCAGATGTTACACATATGGGAGGAACTCTTGCAGATGCATTCTTGCTTGCCTGGCGCCAGTTTAAAGTGACTACAGATGCAATTCAAACCCATTTTAATCCCCTTTTTTGTTAGCAGAGCTGAGGCAAGAGGACTGAGCAGGTCTGATTTGGTTGGACCAGCACTGTACAGTTCTGATTCTCGTTTGCTTAGACCATGAGCTGGTGTTGCCTGACCACCGCTCAAAGACCTTTTGACCCTTCCTCTCCGTTTTCTTCAGGTCATTGAGCTGGTGGACAACAAAGACATGTAACATGATCAATGGAACAGATGGGACATCCTTTCACCCACTGATTAGCAAAGATGAGAACATTTATATCTTTTCTTCTGATTTCTGCAGGTAAGGAGAAGACAATGTTGCTCAGATTTTACATCAGAGCATTTATGTCCATTCCTCTTGCAGTTTCATGTTAGGCTGGTGGTTTTCCTCCCATGATTTTATTTAACAGTATGAGTGTTCTGAATGTATTCATGGTTTGAAGGATGAGAGAGTTACACAAAAAAAAAACCAATTTGCATCAAGTTAAGGATGTGCTATTTCCAAATAAAGTGAAAATTTGGAAGATAGCTGGAAAGACAGACTGAGCTGCCTTGCAAGGCTGGTAATGAGGGGGATTGAAGGATTTATATGAACCTTGCCCGAAGCGTCTCTCCTCCAAAATCTTCCTCTGCTTTGCTTTTTAGAGAACCCAGATTGCCCTCTTCAGAGATTCATGACTTGACATAACGCTGTGTGAAATGCAACAAGATGCAGAAAATCTTGGTGTTTCCTTCCTTATGTTCCACCTCCCTGTCTCCTCCCCTGCCCATTTCCCTGTCTCTGAAGAACAAAACCAATCTGAAATTCTCTGCTTAAATCAAGACAGATGTGTCTTACGCTAAATTCAGGATTTGCTAAATTGTTGTGTCTTCCACAACTGTTCCTTTCCTTGTCCTCTCAGTAGCATGTACCAGCGCTGTCTCACACAACACACAAGAGCAACGTGGGGACCCTGAAATGCTGAATGCAAGCGTCGGTGTCCCCGGAGCAGCACAGCTGGCTGCTCATCTGTTTTGTGCAGCAGCAGAATGACGAGATGTGTATTTGCTGATCGGAAGCCTATTAAATGTAATACAGAAGTTCGTTAGAATGGGCTTAAACCAGACCTCTTGCTTACTGTAAACTTAAGCTGATGCACAGGCATCAGCAAAGAGACACCTGCAGCAGTGTCAGTGTGTGCTCAAGACTAACAAATCTGGGTCTGGCTTTTCTTCCTTGCAGATCCCTTTACCTGGTGTTCGACAGCTCAGGAACTGTTGCAGGCATTCCGACCTACCGCTTTGTGCCCTCTGCTATGGTATTTGCCAACACGACGGTTAACCCAGACAATGCTGGATTCTGCGTGCCACCAGGAAACTGCCCTGGCACTGGGGTCCTCAACGTCAGCATCTGCAAACAAGGTATGTTACCAGGTGCTGGAAGCAGACTGGAAGGCCATCAGTGAGGAACACATTTCTCCTTTCTATCTGAAATACATGAGGACAGTTTGGTGAGGCCTGTAGGGTTATAACTGGGCTCAGTGAAACTGGCCACCAACATCATTTGGTTGTAAAATGCAGTAGTGATGTGAAGGGATGTTCCTGTCAGATGGTGTCTGCTCCAGCAGTGATGTAAGTCAAGGAATCAGAAGGAAGTACTAGGGTTCATACTGAACAGCTTGGGCATTTATCTTCTGCTCTTCCCCAGGTAGCTGTCACATCTGAGTAGTTAAATGAAAACAGTGCAAAAGACCAGTGGTGGTGAATGGGTCCAGTTGGTGGACAGTTACAAGCAGAGTTCCCCAGGGCTCAGTATTGGGGCCAGTTCTGTTTAATATCTTTACCAGTGATCTTGACGAGGGGATTGAGTGCGCCCTCAGTAAGTTTGCAGACGACACCAAGTTGGGCAGGACTGTTGACCTGCTGGAGGGTAGGAAGGCTCTGCAGAGGGATCTGGACAGGCAGGATCGATGGGCTGAGGCCAATTGTATGAGGTTCAACAAGTCCAAGTGCCAGGTCCTGCACTTGGGTCACAACAACCCCACGCAGCACTGCAGGCTTGGGGAAGTGTGGCTGGAAAGCTGCCCGGTGGAAAAGGACGTGGGGGTGCTGGTCAACAGCTGGCTCAGCATGAGTCCGCAGTGTGCCCAGGTGGCCCAGAAGGCCAAC